CACCTAAGAAAACATAAGAAATTAACCTTCTTAAAACAAACCAAAAAGAATGGAATCACACAAACATAATTCCACCTCCAACAACAAAAATAACAAGAACCAACCATCACTGGTCTTTGATATCTCGCAACATCAATAGACTCAATTCCTCAATAAACTGACATAGGCTAACAAGCTGGATACATAAACAGGATCCAGCATTTTGTTGCATACAAGAAACAAATCTCAGTGACAAGGACAGACACTACCTCAGAGTAAAGGTTTGGAAGAACATTTTCCAAGCAAAAAAATCTCAAGATAAGAGGCAAACTGGTCGATGTAATCCACTATGTAAACAAACTCTAAGCAAAAAAATCACATGATCATCTTTTTAGATACTAAAAAAGACATTGACACAATATAACACCCCTTCATGTTAAAAGTCTTGGAGAAATCAAGAATTCAAGGCACTTACCTAAACATAATAAAAGCAATATGCAGCAAATGAACAGCCAACATCAAATTAAATGGAGAGAAACTTGAAGCAATCACACAAAAATCAGGAAAAAGACAAGACTGACCACTCTCTCCCTATTTATTCAATATAGTACTTGAAGTTCTAACTAGAGCAGTTACACAATAAAAGAGATCAAGAGAATACAAATTGGAAAGGAAGAAGTCAAGGAATCACTTATTGCAGATAATATGATAGTATACATAAGTAACTCCAAAACATAAATTGATAATCATCTTCAGCAAAGAGGCTGAATATAAAATTAACTTGACCAATCAGTAGCCTTCCTTTATACAAAGGATAAATAAGCTGAGAAAGAAATTAGAGAAACAACACCCTTCAAAGTAGTGACAAATAATATAAAACATCTTGGTATAACTCTAACAAAGCAAGTGAAAGATCTCTATGACAAGAACTTCAAGTCTCTGAAATAATAAATTGAAGAAGGCCTCAGAAGACAGAAAGATCTCCCACGATCATAGATCAGTGGTCTCAACATAGTAAAAATGGCCATCTTACCAAAAGCAATACACAGATTCAATGCAATCTCCATCAATATTCCAACTAACTTCTTCACAGACATGGAACGAGAAATTCTCAACTAAATATAGAATAACAAAAAAAAATCAGGATAATGAAAACAGTTCTCAACAATAAAAGAACTTCTGGGAGAATCACCATAACTAACCTCAAACTGTATTCAGAGCAATAGTAATAAAAACTGCATGGTACTGGTACAGAGACAGACAGATTGATCAATTGAATAGATATGAAGACTCACATACCTATGGCCACTTGACATTTGACAATGAAGCTACAACCATACAGTAGGAAAAAGAAACCAACTTCAAAATGGTGCTGGTCTAATTAGCAGTCTGCATGTAGAACAATGCACATTGATCCATATTTATCACCTTGTACAAAGCTGAAGTCCACGTGGATCAAGGACCTCCACATAAAAACAGATATACTGAATCTAATAGAAGAGAAGAGGGGAAACAGTCTCGAGCACATTGGCACAGAGAAAAATTTACTACAGAGAACATTAATGGCTCAGGCTTTAAGATCAACAATTGACAAATGGGACCTCCTGAAACTAAAAAGCTTCTGTAAGGCAAAGAACACTGTCAATAAGACAAAATGGCAACCTATAGATTAGAAAAACATCTTCAGTAACCCTACATCTGATAGTGTGCTAATATCAAAGAACTCAAGAATTTAGACTCCAGAAAACCAAATACTCCAATTAAAAAATGGGTTACATGGTCTTGTTGGACATCAGTGGGAGGAGCGGCCCCTGATCATGTGGGGATTTGATGCCCTAGTGTATGGGAATGCCAGGGTGGGAAGGCAGAAGTGGATGGGTGCGTGGGGGAATACCTTCATAGAGGCAGGGGAGGGGGACAGGGATAGGGGGTTTCTAGAGGGGAGACCTGGAAATGGGATAACATATGAAATGTAAATAAAGAAAATATCCAAAAGAAGAAAAAGAAAGGGGGGGTACAGAACTAAACAGAGAATTCTCAACTGACAAATCTTGAATGGCTAAAAAGCACCTAAAGAAATGATCAACATCCTTAGTTATCAAGGACATGAAATCAAAAGGACCCTGAGATCCCACCTTACCCAAATCAGAATAGCTAAGATAAAAAATCCTCAAGGGACAACACATTCTGGCAAGGATGTGGAGAAAAAGGAACACTGCTCCATTGCTGATGGGACTGTAAACTGGTACAGCCACTTTGGAAATCAATCTGGCACTTCCTCAGAAAATTGTACATCGTTTTACTTGGAGATCCTTCTATACCAATTATGTGTGTATACCCAACTATGCTCTACTGTATCACAAGAACACATGCTCCACTATGTTCATAGCAGCCATCATTATTTGCAATAGGTGGAAGCTGGAAACCAACCCAGATAGATATCCCTCAACCAAGAATAGATACAGAAAATGTGGCTAATTTACAGCACTAAATACTACTCAGCTATTAAAAGCAAGAACATCATGAATTTTGTAGGCAAACAGAACTAGAAAATTTCATCCTGAGGGAGGTAACCAGACCCAAAAGGACATGCATGGTATGTAGTCACTGATAAGTGGATATTAAACAAAACGTTCAGAATAGCCATGACACAAGTCACAGACATTATGAAACTTAACAAAAAGGAAAAGTCAAGTGTGAATACTTCAATGCCACTTAGAAAAGAGAACAAAATAATCGTGGGAGATAGAGGGAACCAGAAAACTGGATGGGAGAGGGAGGGGAAGGAGAAGAGAAGGTGCAGGATAAGGCATGTTGAGTGACAGGAGGGATTGCCAGAGGGCCAGGAGACTGAATTGAAATATGCAACAGTGAAACATGGGAGGATAGGGGAATCTCTAGAAAGTCTTAGACACCAGGGAGGTGAACGGCTCCCAGGACCTAATGGGGATGACCTTAACTGAAATGCCAAGCAATGGAGAGGTGTAACAGGAAGAGACCACCTCCAGTAGATAGACGTGGTCCACATTTGAAAAATGGAGTCACCCATCTATCTTCAAAATTCTTGACCCAGAATTGTTACTGTGTAAAGAAAATGCAAGGATAAAAATGGAGCAGAGACTTAAAAAAAGGCCATCTAGTAACTGGCCCAAATTAGGATCCATACCATGGGCAGGCATCAAATACCAACACTATTACTGATGCCCTGTTGACCCTGTAGACAGGAGCCTAGTATCTCTGCCCTCTGAGGTGCTCTACCAGCAGCTAACTGAAACAGACACAGACACTTAGAGCCAACCATTCGATTGAAGTGTGGGACCTCTGTGGAAGAGTTAGGGGAAGAACTAAAGTATCTGAGGGGGATTGCAACCCTATAGGAAGAACAACAATATCAACTAACCCCGACCTCTCAGAAATCCCAGAGGCTAAGCTGCCAACCAAAGAGCTAATATGGTCTGATCCATCAATCCAGCTACATGTGAAGCAGTAGATTGCCTAGGCTGGCCTCAGTGGGAAAAGATGCATGCAATCGTATGGAAACTTGATGCCCCAGAGAAGGGGCATGATAGTGGGGTGATATGGGTGTGGATGAGTGGGTGGGGGCACACTCCTTCAGAAACAAAGTAGAGAGTGAAGGGGGTGAAGAACTTGTGGAGGATGGACGAGAAAGGGGCCAATATTTGGAATGTAAATATATAAGATAATTTTTAAAAGCCTGGCTAGGACAAAGCATATAGAGAATGTTCTAATGAATTAAAAGCTAGAATACAGAAATATCCATGCTGTGTTTACAGAAATGCATTTAAAAGGACTAATCATCTACTCATCAATCTTTTGTAATATTAGTTTGCATTGTTTGTATACTGCTACATAGAATACAATGACGTTTCCAATGATTAAAAATACCAAAACTAACCAACCAACAAACCAAACAACAACAACAAACTGAGTGCTGCCAACTGTTTGGTTGTTTGAATATTGCCCTCTCAGTATTAAACATATCTCTTGGTATTTCTTTGCATTCTGTTCTATGCAATTATTCCAGGTCAGTCTTTGTAAGACTACAAGAGAATGCTTTTTGCTCTCACAGATCCTTCTTGGGTGAAAGTGTAGTTTTCCTCCTCTTACTGCTACCTGCTCTGGAAAATGTACCAATGTCACTGTCATGAAGTTCTCTCTTCCTTTCAATGTTAATTTCTTATTTATTTAGTTATTAAACATAGACAAATTTAGTGTGATGTCTAGATGTTTTCCAGTGTGATCAGATACATTTTTTACTAGCACGTTATTCTTCTTTGAAGAGCTACCAAGCTTATTTCTAATAATTTCTCATTCTTTTCTCAAACTTTGTGATTCCAAACAGTCATTACAGTCATTCACTACTTATAATATTCATGTTAATATTACTGTCTATCACAGATAACTATGTCTTTCAGATTATATTTCTTAGGACAGATGACGTAATCCATAAATAAAAAAGAATAATATTTCTTGCCTTTTGAAGTAACTGTATTAGATCAATGAATTTGATTTGCTACATTTTGATTCTAACAGGGTGTTTTATTTGTGGAGTTTAATTATTTTTATGTAACAGTTATACATTCCAAAAAGTTAAGATATAAATAATATTATAAAACAATTGTAATAATCTTCATGTGTGGTAAAAGTGATCAGTATTTCAAAGAACTATGTTACATAAAGCTTTAAGAAAGTTTCAGTTCCTATTGATAGTTAAAGTTTCAAAATATAATTTATTTATGTATTTGCAATTTAAAATAGCTCATGAATTTATTAAACATTACATCTGGGCGCTATATGATAAATATGAAATATTTGTAAGCACATTAAAATATACAGTTTGACATAAGAATATAATAATAATTTTACTTTGTAAATGACAAATTAATTAATACCTTCTCAAATAAACTATATATCTCCTTTAGGTAAATCCCATTTCTTATTTTAAAACTTTTGTTAAATATGATATAGTTATACCAACTATTATTATGTTTAAATTTCAGGGATTACTTTCCAATTAATTCCAGGCTTGGTGAACATTTATGCAATTCAGGTGCATGATTTTGTGGTAAATAGAGAAATCACTGAGAGCAAAGCTACACCTAAAAAGATTTTAAAGCAGAAGAAAGAAAAGCTTAATTTCTAAATGATTTTTTCATTAGGTGAGAATTGTATGCTTTCCCTTTGTCAATGGAATACCATATTTATTATTTTAAAACAATAACATTGAATAGTTACATTTAAAAATATACCTCATATCCTCCAACAAGTTTTGTTATGAGCATAACAATATAATCTGTGTTAATATTAATGAAGATATTATGACATGTATACATTTTGAATTTGTAAATAAATAGTGTAGATCATTTTTTTGGAATGGTATTCTTTTCTCGTAGAATATATTTTCATTAGTTTCCCTTCCCTCTTCTTAGTTTTTCCCACACCCCCTCACCTCCAGGTACCTCTCATTCAAAGAGTAGAGACTTTTAGCACATAACAAACAAGCAAGTCAACATAAAATCTAAAAAGACAGAAAACCCTTCAGCTTTCATGAAGTCATTTTTAAAGATGTATTTATGTATTTACAGATATAATTATGTATTTTATGTGTATGGGTACTTTGTCTGCATGCACATTTGCCCATCAGAGGAAACCATCAGACAGTTGTGAACTGTCATATGGGTACTGGAAGTTGAACTCAGGACTTTCAGAACAGCAATGAATGTTCTAAACCTTATTTTTCCAGCACACATGATATCATTTCTTTTTCAATTTATTTTATTAATTTTTTATTAATTTTCATTTTTTACATTCCAGTTGTTGTTCCCCTCCAGGTCTGCACTCCCACAGTTCTTCATTCTATTCCTTCTCCTCAGTGTCTCCAAGAGTTTTTTTTTTTTTTAATAAATAGATAATACTCCATTGTGTAAAGTTAACAAATTTTCTTTACCCATTCTTTAGTTGAGAAGTATGTAGGTTGTTTCCAGGTTCTGACTATTATAAATAATGTTGTAGTAAGCATGTGTGAACAAGTGTCCATGTGATAGGATGGGTCTGAGGTCAAGGTGGCATAGCTGAATTTTGAGGTAGATTGGTTTCCAACTTTCAAAAAAAACCTGTCATATTGGTTTCCATAATGGCTGTACAGGTTTGTACTCCCACCAGCAATGCAGGAATGTTTCCCTTATTACACGTCATCGCCACCATGACCTGTTACTTGTGTTATTGATCTTAGCCATTCTGACAGGTTTACAATGGAGTATCAAAGTTATCTTGATTTGCATTTCTTTAATGGGCAACAATGGTGAATATATCTTTAAGTATTTACCAGCAATTTGAATATCTTCCTTTGAGAGTTCTCTGTTTATATGTGTACTCCATTAAGTTCATTGAGTTTTTTGATAATTTCTAGAGTTATTTATACATTTTGAATATTATTCATCTATAGGATGTGAAGTTGGTAAAAAACAAAACAAAACAGAATGTCCCATTCTGTAGGCTGTCGTTTGTCCCACTAATGGTGTCCTTTGTTTTTCATAAGATTTCAGTTTCATGAGATCCTACTTATTAACTTTTGATCTTAATTATCGAGGCTATCTTTGTTCTGTTCACGAAGTCTTCACTTGTGCTAAGGAGTACAAGACTATTCCTAATTTCTCTTTCTCATTTATCAAGTGCAGTGTGTATGGTTTTATGTTTTAAATGAAATGTCTTTTATCCATTTTGAAGCTCAGTTGCATGCAGAGTGACTAATATGGGTCTATTAGCATACTTCTATATGCTGAATCCAGTTTGAGCAACACTATTTGTTGAAGATGCTCTCTTCTCTCTAGTATATGTTTCTGTCTTTTTTTTTTAATCAAAAAGCAGGTTCTATAAAATTGTGTATTTATGTCTGTGTCTTCAGTTTTATTCCACTGAGCAACTTGTCTTTTTTTATGCCAATATCATTTGGTTTTGTTTCCTATGGATCTGTAGTACAAGTTGAAATTGTAACACCTCCAGCAGTTCTTTAATCCTTTTGCTATAGAGTTGTGTGTGTGTGTGTGTGTGTGTGTGTGTGTTAGAGATACATAGGTAGATAGATAGATGATAGATAGATGATAGATAAATAGGTAGATAGATGATAGATAGATAGATAGATAGATAGATAGATAGAGATAGACAGGAGGGGGAGAAAGTTTCTTTGTGAATATGAAAATTGTCATTTTGTGACAATTGAAAAGTCTGTGTTAGAATTTTATGCATATTGCACTGAATCTGTAGATTGCTTTTATTAGGATGGCCATTTTTACTTTCTGAATCCTACTTATCGATAAACATGGGAGATCTTTTAATTTTCTGATATCTTCTTCAGTTTCTCTCTTCAGATATTTTAGGCTTTTATCATGCAACTCTCTTATTTGCTTCATTAGAATTACTCCCATTGTACTTTATATTATTTGAGGCTATTATAAAAGGAATTGTTACTTGACCTTTTTCCCTTACTGCTTTTAGTAATTTTTCTTCGTTTTGTGCATCTGATGTTTTGATTATTATGTGACGGGAGGTATTTCTTTTCTGGTCTAGTCTCTTTGGTGTTCTGTAGGCTTCTTGTATGTTTATGGGCATCTTGTTCATTAGGTTAGGGAAGTTTTCCTCAATAATTTTGTTGAAGATATTTACTGTCCCTTTAAGTTGGGAATCTTCATTCTCATCTATACCTATTATTTTTAGGCTTGGTCTTCTCATTGTGTCTCCCTTATGAACATCGATGCAAAAATAGTCAATAAAATTCTAGCAAACCGAATCCAAGACCACATCAAAACAATCATCCATCATGATCAAGTAGGTTTTATCCCAGGAATGCAGGGATGGTTCACTATTTGGAAATCCATCAACGTAATCCACTATATAAACAAACTCAAAGAAAAAAAACCACATGATCATCTCACTAGATGCTGAGAAAGCATTTGACAAAATTCAACAACTCTTCATGATAAAAGTCTTGGAAAGATCAGGAATTCAAGGCCCATACCTAAACATAGTAAAAGCAATTTACAGCAAACCAGTAGCCAACATCAAGCTAAATGGAGAGAAACTTGAAGCAATCCCACTAAGATCAGGGACTAGACAAGGCTGCCCACTCTCCCCCTACCTATTCAATATAGTACTGGAAGTCCTAGCCAGAGCAATTAGACAACAAAAAGAAGTCAAAAGGATACAAATAGGAAAGGAAGAAGTCAAAATATCGCTATTTGCAGTTGATATGATAGTATACTTAAGTGACCCCCAAACTTCCACCAGAGAACTCCTAAACCTGATAAGCAACTTCAGCAAAGTGGCTGGTTATAAAATCAACTCAAACAAATCAGTAGCCTTCCTCTACATGAAAGATAAACAGACTGAAAAAGAAATTAGGGAAATGACACCCTTCACAATAGTTGCACATAATATAAAATACCTTGGTGTGAATCTAACCAAGCAAGTGAAAGACCTGTACGACAAGAACTTCAAGTCCCTGAAGAAAGAAATTGAAGAAGATCTCAGAAGATGGAAAGATCTCCCATGCTCATGGATTGGCAGGATTAATATAATAAAAATGGCCATCTTGCCAAAAGCAATCTACAGATTCAATGCAATCCCCATTAAAATCCCAACTCAATTTTTCACAGAGTTAGAAAAGGAAACTCTCAAATTCATATGGAATAACAAAAAACCCAGGATAGCCAAAACTATTCTTAACAATAAAAGAACTTCTGGAGGAATCACCATCCCTGACCTCAAGCTGTACTACAGAGCAACTGTGATAAAAACTGCATGGTATTGGTACAGAGACAGGCAGGAAGATCAATGGAATAGAATTGAAGACCCAGAAATGAACCCACACTCCTATGGTCACTTGATCTTTGACAAAGGAGCTAAAACTGTCCAGTGGAAAAAGGACAGCATTTTCAACAAATGGTGCTGGTTCAACTGGAGGACAACATGTAGAAGCATAAAAATTGATCCATTCTTATCTACTTGTACAAAGCTCAAGTCTAAGTGGATAAAGGACCTCCACATAAAACCAGATACACTGAAACTAATAGAAGAGAAGGTGGGGAAGAGCCTCGAATACTTGGGCACAGGGGAAAAGTTCCTGAACAGAACACCAATGGCATATGCTCTAAGATCAAGAATTGACAAATGGGACTTCATAAAATTGCAAAGTTTCTGTAAGGCAAAGGACACTGTCAATAGGACAAAATGACAACCAACAAATTGGGAAAAGATCTTTACCAATCCTACATCTGATAGAGGGCTAATATCCAATATATACAAAGAACTCAAGAAATTAGACTCCAGACAACCAAATTACCCTATTAAAAAATGGGGTATAGAGCTTAAGAAAGAATTTTCAATGGAAGAAACTCGAATGGCCAAGAAGCATCTAAAGAAATGTTCAGCATCCATAGTCATCAGGGAAATGCAAATCAAAACAACCCTGAGATTCCATTTTACACCAGTCAGAATGGCTTCAGCTGAATATGTAAGAGTGGAGGGCCCTGCTGGGCATAGGTGGAAGATGAGATCCTTTACCTCATGAAGCCTGGACGCCCCAGGGGGTGGGAATTTTGAGGGTGGGAAAGTGGGAGTGGGGGGGTAGGTAGGGGTTACATCCACAGAGAAGAAGGAGGAGGGATAAGGGGATAGGGGGTTCCCGGGTGTGGGGGGGAATGGGGTAAGGGGACAACATATGAAATGTAAATAAAATATCCAATAAAAAAAAAGAAAAGAAAAAAATATCACAGACTCTTCGGTTTCTTACACTTCAGTAGCTGCTCCAAGCAGGTGTTTCTTCACAAACTATCCCCTGTAAGAAATTCTCTAGTAACTCCATTTCTTGAGCTAGCTTCTTTAATTCTATTGAGGAGCAAGCCAGCACAGCCCTGCAGTCATGATGCAAGTTATTATTCTAGCCTATTTTGATATTTTTGTTTTAGAAACTCCAGAATTTGAATTGAAAACCATCCAGAGGAAGAAATAAACCCTGAGCCCCAGACATGGACACAGAACCCCTTGAGTGACTCTTCCTTGTGAGAATCAGCTGATCAAAGCAAACTAGTGGAGTTTTTTGTTGTTATTTTGTGTTTGTTTGTTTTCCAGTTTGCCTCTCAAACCAAC